GGATGTATTTTTTACTAATCGTATTTTTAACTTGTCCATGCTTGATGTTATCCAACCATAAAATGTCCAGATACCTTTAGGCTATATCTGATATTTCCTGGTGGTTTGGCCATTCTGCAATTCAACACTACTGGTTTTGCAATATATTAAAATTAATTACAAATACAAGCTGCTTATGATATAATGTGATACAGGGGCTACACATGAGTATCATATTGTACCTTTTGCTAAAAATGTTGATCTTATTGTCAGGATTTATATGAGCTTGTATCATAGTTTAATGATTTTTTGTAGATCAAACCCTAAAAAATCCCACAATTCTTCCAGAAATGAACTAGAGAAGTTAAAATATGGCGATATGAGAATATTTGTTATTGAAGGATCCAGTCTGAATCAGTCATCAATATCAGAGGTTTAGTCTTATTTGGACTCATGCTGGAGCCCATCCTCAGGAACTACTCTCCAGCAGAATGTGCTAGAGAGAGATTCCCTGAGGATGGGCTCCAGCATGAGTCCAATCCAGTGACCAATCCAGATTGGACCCTTCAACATTATCCTGCGACACATATATTTGCCTTCATTTGTGACATTTGTTATTTTTTTTAAAAAAATGTATAAATTGATATATAAGAGAACAACTGAAATGCTCTTATAAAATTACACTGGAAACTGTAAGAAAATGCTGAAAGTGTCCATGCTTTGTTTTTTTTATTTATTCCCTACTTTGAATAGTTTATACCTGTTCTAATTTTGTTCCCCGCAGATGTCTGGAACATCAACACTCAGTGCTGCCTGGCACCTAAGGCATTTCAAGATGAGTACACATCAACTTCAAATTTTGAAGTACCCAAATTCAGAGGTTTATTATACATATTAAACGTAAATAGTTTATCTAAGTTGTGTCCCATTTGTTCATTTAAAAAACTAAATTTAAAACAGTTCAAATCACAAAATCAAACTACAGTTTAGCTCTAAAAGAACCCAGAATAAAACAGTAACGAAATCCTCCCATAACATAAATATTTTCAGATATCCAATAAAAAGGAATTTATACATAGAGAATAATAATTGTAATTGAGGGTTGAAATGAGGGATCCTTGGTGCTCTCTTGGTTGTTTCCTTGCAGACATTTCATTACCCAAATTAGGTAACATCAGTGCTTTTTTTTGTCATAGAACGCCCACAACGGAGTTCCAGCATCTTTTTTGGATGGAACCTTGTAGGGTAGGCAAGGCGAGTTGTATGACGTGTGTGAGTTCCAGCACTTTTTTTTTTTTTTTTTTTACAAAAAAAAAAACACTGGGTAACATAATCAGTTCCCAGAGAGCACCAAGGACTCCTCAGATCTACACATATTTTTCTCATTCCTTATAGCAGCCTTAAGAATTTAAGTAGCCTTGGCATATTACTACTACTGATATACAGTATTCTCTCCACCTTAAATGCCCATAAATTGCTTTTGATGTATATGAAGTTTTGTTTAGAAGTACTATGAGGAAAAAGGATGAAAATGTATGTCAGAAATAAGATCCCCCTTAAATGCTGTTCTGCATTCATGAGGATTAAACCTGATCAGATTCTTCATTCAACCATACAGAAATATCTACTTATTTTCAAATTGATGCAGCGCTTCCTTGGAGCTTGTGGTTTAGCACAAGAGAACTGCAGCTATGACTGGTAGATGTAGGCACTGGGGAAAAGAACAGGACCAGGAAGGTTATCTACCTCATGAGTTTGCACATTTGAGCCAGGCCAGAGGATTACATGCTAGTCTAATTCAGATTCCAAACTATATTAGTTGAATTAGTTTCTGTCTAAATCAATGTTATCTTTACTTTTAATGGGCTTCCCTTAGTGGAGTAGTGGTAGAAATAGATTGTAAGATGACAGCGCACTATTAGATTTTCATGACATAACTTGATGTTACAATCATACAACCTACCTTTAGAAAGGGAAGTGGCATCGTAATAATTTTAATAGATGAAATCACTTTATCTTTGAAACAAAGATCATCTGAAATGTCAGAGAAAGTTCCTAGAATTCAGCTTATTAAATGAAATGGAACAGTAGGAGGGTCTGGGATCTAAAAGATATTCAGGCCAGATTTATTAATTTCAGGTGTCAAGGAAGTCTAGGAAATGGATATTTATCAGAAAGCTGCTTTAAACTGCCACAGTCAAAAGTTGTTTTTTGTTCCATTTCATATAGATAAATTTTCAAATGCAAATAACAGGAATTTTGCAAATAAAATATTTGAAAAAACATCAAAATATCAGGGAACAAGTTTTGATTCTGGGAAAACAAAAACAAATATAGCTTCCATAAGTACTGAATGACCCAGATAAAAACCTAATAAAAGTATAGGGATAAATCCCATTAAGTGAATCCTTCTCCATGTCAGCTATTTGTGAAACATAAATCAACTAAGCAGAACCACATTCCACTGATAAGGAACACATTTAGTAAGAAATCTTGGAATATGTTCTTTTAAAACTTCAGCTATCCTCTCAGTAGACAGAATAGTTGTCAGGAAGGCAAACCAAATAGGATTTTGTGGGTTTCACAACTAGGCTGACAATCATGTCAGAAAGGATATGCATCCTTTCATTTGTGTATGATGTCATATATGTTTGTCCATAAGGAAGCTCTGAGGTACATCAGCTTTTTAGGGATATACTAAGATAACTTTTTTTTTCTATATTATGAATTGCTCTTCTTTTCTTTACAGAATGTTTTACCGATATTTATATTATCTATTTTCAAATTATCTATAAGAATCTAATAATACGACAGATCTATTGGACCTGTTTGTATAATGAAAGTTTCTAATATATTTTCTAACAGTTCTCAACCATTCCCTTGTAATTGGTTATATGTTATACTATGCTGTTAGTAAAATTCCCTGGCTTCTAAAAATAAAATGTATTTGAGTCATACATCTGTCAATAAAAAAAAACCCTCATTTTTTTGTTTCCACTTTGATGTATACATTATATCATTAATTATGTGAGATATACGCCAAAGACATGATTCAAATTGGTTTAATTAATTTTCTGTTTTTATTTATTTATTTATTTATTTATTTATTTATGAGACTTATATACCGCTTTAAGTGCAAGCACTCTCTAAGCCAGTGGTTCTCAACCTTTCTAATGCCGTGACCCCATAATACAGTTCCCTGTGTTGTGGTGACCCCCAGGGGTGTGGCCAAGTGGGTGTGGCCACCAATAAGAGGGAGTAGGACAGCTAGGGAAAAGGGAAAAAAATGGCGGACAGCGTGGTTTGGCGACCCCCGTGAAATGGTCGTTCGACCCCAAATGGGGTCCCGACCCACAGGTTGAGAACCACTGCTCTAAGCGGTGTACACCAGTAAGCAATGTATATATATATTTACATTGCCCCCAACAATCTGGGTCCTCATTTTTCCTACCCCGGAAGGATGGAAGGCTGAGTCAACCTTGAGCCGGTGAGATTTGAACCGCTGACCTGCTGAACACAGTCAGCTAAAGTGGCCTGCAGTACTGCACTCTAACTGCTGCGCCACCTCGGCTCATCATTTTACTATTAGGTTTATATTAAAATGTTCTCACATTTTTGCTATATTCTGATAGTCCTTCAAATCCATATCTTAGCATCTTTTTGAAACAAAAATGCAATTAAAAAAAGGTTTGCTTTGATTGTATCAGATATTTTTATAGCTATTACATGAGATGTTAATTAATTTAAATAGTCAGAATCAGAATCAGAATAACAGAATTGGAAGGGACCTTGTAGGTCATCTAGTCCAGCCTCCCACCCAAGCAGGTGACCCTACACCATTTATTAAAATAAAACCTTAGATATTAGCTGGGATAGATATATCTAGTTTTATGTGATTACAAATATGCATAATGGCTCCCAAATGTTTATTTGCAGATACAAATATTTTGAAATTTAAGTTGTTCCTCCTTTTTATTCTTAATAACCTTATTTGTTTAAATATAAGAAGAGAAATTATTTAAAGGAGAATCAATTGTTCCCCCTACAAATAGCCTGATGTATAATATTTAGATTACATATTTTTAAAATCATTAGTACACAGTCCTATGTACTCTATTTTTTTCTAAATTTTGAAAAGCAAAAGAGCAAAAAAAGAAAAAAAGAAAAAAACTACCACCACCACTTTCATCACCATCATTTACCTTATGATGTCATCTCTACTTACTCATGTCTCTAGACTTTTTTTGGATTTTGGTTTAGGGAAACTCTTTTTGAAATATGCAAATGAAACATTAGAGAGAAATGGAGAATAGAGCTTTAAACTCCACCCATAGTCAGGTAAAGAAAATTTCCTGTAGAGCCTTCATATATATATATATAAAGGACTAAGACAAGTAGATAGAATTATACATCACTGCAAGTCAGAGCAAATAGGTCCCTAAGGTGAGTATTAGAATTGTTGTATATGTCTTAAAAATATAGAGAAAGTATACTTTTATAGTACTGATATTATTAATATAAACTGAATAATTGAATTTTGATAGGCAAATAAATAATAATTTAAATGTATTTTTAATAAAAAGAATAAATCAAGAAAGAAAGAAATTTCTATTCATATTAACTGAACAAAAGATGAAAATGATATCCTAACCTAATGAGAGATCAAGGATGTATAGAAATAAATGTATATGTACTTTTAAAATATAAACAAAGCATTCTGATATGAAAATTGCTCTTGAATTAACAGAATGAGGAAATTGGTGAAATTCCACAAATTAAAAAAACAGAAAATAAATTTTATTTAAGATACACTGTAATTCTCTCTATATATATTTATCTTCAAATTCCATTGAATCCAATAGATCAGTTAGAGAATATTCTTAATTTTTCAGAATATCATTTTGGGTATCAGATTTTGGTGATAAATTATACAGTTCTAATGGTTTTTGTTGTTTAGAATAGTTAAAAAATAATACTTCTAGATTAGCAGACCATTGAACAATTTGTGTCTTTTTTTACAGCATCATTTCCAGTCGTGAAACAAGGATGGACGTCAGGCGATTTCTCTGTCTTGTTCTTTCATTTCTTTTTGCTGAGCCCATGACCCCAGAAGGCAGAAGCCTCAGCTTTGGCCAATGTGAAGTGAATGGGGTATCTTTCCGGGAACTAAGAGAGCACTTCGGTGCAATCAAAGAAGATGTTGTAAGTACCATTCTAAGTTGGTATTTTGTTGATGTAATTTTTCTCTTGTATTTTTTTAATCCTAATCAATGACAACAAAAAAATGATGAAAAGAAAAAAAATCCTACAGAAGCAATGTTGTTTAACTTGAAGTGAGGGAACTTCAGCCTTTTTGAAGTTGAAGGCCATATTGCTTAAATAGAATATAGTTGGCACCACGTGTGTTGCTCGAGAAGTAAATCCAAAGGGTGGATTGGAACACTCTCTTCTTCCTTCACTTTCCCCAATTCATCATTCATTAATTCATTTTCTACCTTTCTTATACATATGCATAGTATGTATTCTTTCATACAAACCAACAGCCAATGGTTTCATCTTTTATTATTTTCTATCACAAATGTAAACCTATCCATTCATATACGCATAAACCCTATATTCCCATATCTCCTTTCTAATACCTCTAGTGTCCTCAGCTTCTCACCACAGTTTAGAAGATCCTGCATGAGTAAATTCCTATATTCAATCTCTGATATCAGCTGGGAAAATAATCTCTGATGGAGGAAAATCTTCTTTTTTGATTAATTTGAACCTGTGGACAGTGTTTTGACTGTATTTTCATCCAATCATCTTAGATTCATTTTATTTTCAATTTCAATGTACTTTCTACCAGTCCTTTGTCACATCAAAGCATCTACTAAATGTTAAGGGACATTGCTATCCGGATCATTAGTATCCTCGCTTTAACTTTTTTGTTTACTACAGTTAATGGAAGGGTTTGTTTCAAGTATCCAATTAAGTACTTTTTCAAGTTTAGTTATTTCTTCAATGATTTATTTTTCCTCATCTAGTTTATTGACTAATATTATTGGTCAGAAAAGGAGTGGGATGCTTAAAGAGGCTGAAACATAGATAGTAGGATTTTGGATCTTTCTCTATAAAAATCTTCATTAACCTGCTCATTTTAGACTTCACTTCCCATAATATCATATCAGAAAATCCATTGACCATGTCTATTTAGATATTCTAGAATTTAAAATGTTGAAAACATTATTTGAGAAAGGATAACTTATTGCCTTCTGAGAAAAACTGCTTAAATAAAGAACATATTTTATGTATGGGGTATCATCCCTTAAATGAGTGCTACTAAGCAATCACTTACTAAATGCTTTCTTTGTTGCATTTGTTTTACTACTATTCAAAGCCTCATGAAGTACATAACCTAATGAGAGATCAAGGATGTATAGAAATAAATGTATATGAAGGTGAGAAGTATGTAGGAAGGTTGAGGTGAAGGAGGAGAGGGGGTGAGTGAAGAAAAAGAGGGAAAGAAGTAAGTTGGTTTGAGGTGGGATGCAGTTTGGGGGGAAATGGGCGGGCAAGACCGAATGTGGCGTGTATCAATTTGTTTTATTTTTTATCTGAAGTATTTGTAAGATTGTTATGTATTGTAAAGTTGAAAATAAAATTTTTTATAAAAAAAAGCCTCATGAAATGTAGCAGTTTTTATCACAGTAAAAGTTTGGTAGTAAAACAGCTTCTACTGTAATATTAAAATTAGTTGCCATGAATTGTAATGGATTGTCTTGATTTTCTTTGCTATCTACCCCTTCTTTTTTTGGCTATCTCTATCATAGTACAAAGAACTGCAGAATAAGGCTCTATAAATCATGGACTGAGCATGACTCAAAATGAGAACCCTAATTTCTGGGGATAAAAATTGCCAGGTCAACCCAATGATGCTGAGAATAACTTACAAAGAAAAAAAATCCAAGAACTGAACTTTTTCTATAAACAATACTTATATTGTCTTGAAAAAAATAAAGGGGAAAAAGCATTATAAGTATCAAATATGTTTGATCAGATGTGCAGCAAAGATCTTAAAATGGACCATAGTAGAAACAAGGGGAAATATGTGAGATGATTGGATTCTATGGTTCATTTTATTCCAAAATAATAAAACCTGCCTTTCATACTGCTGTTTCTATTCACTCAGATTTACTTTCTAAATGCATTTTTTCTTTTATTCACCCAATTTATTTTCTTTCAATTGCAGCAAACCCAAGATAAAAGAACAGATATGAAATTGCTGAAGGAAAGTATCCTACTGAATGTCTCGGTAAGAATAACTTTTTTTAGAATACTTCTCAATTACTTGCATGAAAGTCAGTAATACACAGCAAGGCCAGTTGTGCATAGAAGGAGATTTATATATGTTATATATGAACTTTATGTATATTTCCTCATAAGTAAATAATCTAGTAACAGTCACTTAATTTGTACAAGTGTAGAAAGTGACTGGCTAATTGTATTTCCCTTATTTAGCTATCTTTTTTATTTCAGATAATTTCATACATCTGCATTCAATAAACATTTCTCCATATATGTCTTTAATTTCTTCTGTTTTAGCATATATCATTAATAAGAATAGATAATCCTGTTTAGCAATAACATTTCTCCATAAGTAGCTCAAGAGTTTGCTATGTTATAGTCTAATCCAGGGGTCCCCAACCTCCAGTCCGTGGACTGTTATCGAGCTGTGGCATGCCAGCAACTGATCCGCACAAACAAGCAAAGCCCCATCTGTGGGATGCAGGCAGCACACAAACTATGCACCCTCTGGTCCGCAGAAAAACCTCTCTCTACGGAACCAGTCCCTGGTGCCCAAAAAATTGAGGACCTCTGGTCTAATCCATCCCCTTACATGATATATTAAAGAATAAAAAATAAAAGAAAAAATTGTATAAGTTTGCACATTCTATTGCATATGAATCTATGCCAGCTCAACAGCTGCTATAGATTCTATTCTAAGGCTATATGGCTAGATTCTATTCTAAGGCTTACCAAACAGCAAATACAGTTAACAATTGATATAGATATATTAATGAAAGCAGTTTGTGGCCTGCTTCTATTCAAAACTCACTTAGTACCCTTATGCAAATTATAATGTAGATTATTGGACATCACACAACTAAATGATAGAAGGCTTATAAAGAATTGTACCTTTGTTAATGGAGACAGTTGACCCCCTTAGCAAAAAGGCACCACTAACCAGTGGTTAGTACTCTACATTTCCATGGGAGTTTGAATCAGTGGAGGAGCTAAATTTTGTTGTGAACTTACTCTTGGGAAAAAAGTAAATAGCTCTAATGGAACTCTAATTGCTTTTATTCTTACTTTAGACTTCAGAGAGTTGTTGTTTACTCCGCCATCTGCTGAGGTTTTATGTTGAAAACATCTTCAAGAACTACAATGCAACAAGTAACACACTTAGAAGGAAAAGCAGCATTTTAGCAAATGCTTTCCTCAGCATTAAGATAAATCTGAAACAATGTGTAAGTATGACATACAACTCTGGTTTTCTGTGCTATTGAGAACCATGCAAAAGATTTATACAAATATATACCTAATATTTTTACAAATAGACATACATATAAATACATATAGTTTTATCTAATCATTGTTTCTTTTCTCTTTATATTTTTCTAAAATTAGCATGATCAAAACAGATGTTCCTGTGGGGAAGAATCACATAAGAGATACAAGTTATTACTCGACGAATATAGCAAGGTAAAAGGGATGGGAGTTGATTTTTTCTTTACTTTAAGATTCTGTTACTATTTTAGAAAAGGACATGGATAGCAAGATTAAAGAATTTCAGCTTAGTGTCTCTGTGCATTCAATTCTGCTTGCTCAGAATTTGAGCTCTTTCTGATCTCTGATCCATCTGGATTACAGATGGTTGTACAAAAGAAAAAAATCTAGATATTTATAGTGAATCGGCAAGGAATTTCAGCTTTGATATTGAAACAACAGGGACAACAAAATGCTCTTCCCAAAGTCAACTAATAAACTACCTCCCTAAAAAACCATAAACAGAACAAAATATACACTCCCCTAAATAAAAACTCAAAATATGGAAAAGTATATTAAATATGAGTGCATATATAGGCAGTCCACCTGACTTATGACTATTTTTTTTTATTACTATTTGGAGATATGATGGCTTCAAAATGGGTGCCTTACAGCCTGTAAAGTACTTCTGACTGTTCACAAATGTTGCCTTCCCCCTCCCCCTGAGGTTACAGGACCATTTAAGATGCTTGGCAACCGTCTTGCACTTATAACTGGTTCCAATGTCCCACGTTCACGTGACCATGAATTGTGACATTTTTTGCTGGTTTCCAGCAAAAAATGTCCATTTGGAATAATGGGTTAGCTTAATGACCATGGTGATTTGCTTAACAAACACTGTGAAAAAAATGTAGGAAAAATGAGTCCAGTCACATAGTTGCCTCAACTTACAATTGCAATGACTTACAACTGCATTTCTGGTTTCAGTTGTGGTTGTTAGTCGAGAGCTACCTGTAACGAGTAGAAATGACTGGTTTAAAGAAATTACTTCATAAGTGATTAAGTACATACTTAAATTTTTACTGTCCCTTTGAATATATGAATGATAAAAAAATATACAGAAAAAAACATTAAGTCCTGGTAACCCTTGTCTTTCTTTTATATGTATGTACACTAAGTAAAAGTAAGTTTCTTGTTGTATCATTAATCATCATTTGAACATTTCCTCCCTGCAGCTTGATATGAATGCAGCAACAACCAAAGCTTTGGGAGAGATGGACCTTCTCTTTGCCTGGATGGAACGCTTCTAAATCTGGCCACAGAGAGAGAGAAAGACAGAGAGAGTCTTCAAACTTTCATTATGCAAAAATATTTTCATTTCAATAATTTAAAATATTTAAATTTATTTATATTTATTTATTTTGCATTATTTATATAATAAAGATGTCCAAATCCTTTGCTGGTGAAGCACTAAGGCTACAAGGTTAGTTTGCCAGATTTATTTGCAAACAAGAAACCTGTACTTGGCTATACAGTATTTCCTATTCAGGGACTCTTGGAAATGCATTTGTTTTTGACATATCCAGTGACCGTGAATCATGAACTCTGCTCATTGCTGAAAGCAATAATTGGATGTTTCAGAGGCTTCTGCAATTCTAAGCAACAATTTTGTACTTCATTTATTGCTTGGAATTCAGTAACTTTAAAATTTCATAAAGCATTAATCTATCTTATCTATTTTTATCTATTTATTAGTTGATCATAAAATAAAAAATATGTTTGAAAAATGTAATGTTATTTATAAATAATTATATATTATTGTGTTATTTAATGTATTTAAATATATTTAATTCTTTGTAATATTTTTAAACTATGTTATATTTATTTTGTTAACAAGATCCAGTATTAAGATTTTGTACATTTTTAAAATTATTTTAATTTAAAGGATACTTTAGTTCAAACAATTACATTATGTTGATATCTGAATGCCTTATTTTATTTTATGTCAATGTTTTAATTTTACCTTAATAAAAATGGAATATTTTTACAAAACTTTAGAGATCTTGCTCTCTCAGACACATACACATTTTATTTAACAGAAACATTTTTCTGCTTAGCTTTTCATCATGAAAAGGATAAGGAGAGATATACGACAGTAATTAATACAGTAATGTTTTAATCTAGCACTTTGCTCAGTTAAACATAATAACTTGCAATATATACACAGCAGTCTAAAGGTCTATAAAGGAATTTATGATGAAATCCTAAATCTTATTTTTGATGTGTGGAATAAATTGGGAATGGAACAGAAATAGACCTGCTAAACCAAAGCAATATAAAAATTGGGATAAGTGTCCAGTAAATTAAATGTGAGGTTATATCTTTGTTCCAAGAAGGAACAAACTTTTCAGCTAGGACTAAGTTGACCCCAAATCCTTCTGTAGGGATAATTTTAGATGGTAGTTAAAAAAAAAACTTCTGTAAAAGAAGGGTCAGATTCCAAATATAGGAAACATATGACACATTTGGGGCTTGGACTATAATTCTATGTCTTCCAAACTCTATTGCAGATGATGGAAGAAACACCTATATATTTAAAGTATGTTACTTGTTTAATATAGATACTGCTTACGTGCCAATCGTAAAACCAACTAGCATGTAAATAAAATACCTGTTATTTTGAAATTTTTGATGGTCATTTTTTCTTTCCTACAAAATGTTGCTAATGATTGCAGGCTCTACTTTTGGTGCACCCAGGTCACAGAGGAAATATATCTGATGAAATTCACTTTGAGATAAAAGTTGAATGGCAGAATTGATAAGGAAAATTTAAAAAGTTAGATGATGGAATTGATATAAAGTTCAGTGGGTTGAGATTCTGATCTTAAGAATTTACTTCATTAGCAAATATAAGGGGGGGGGAAGGAATTTGTGTCAGAAAAGCAAGAAAAGGGGTCGCTTTACCATACATATGTAAATTGCCATTACAAAATACCTCAGAGCAGCATTGTCTTGCAGTAGGTAGCAAAATACTTCATGTCGGCATTGAGCTATACGTCCCTAAGATGGCTGTGCCATAACTTGTGTCCTTTTTTTAAAATAAGGTCCTCTTATCCTTATCTGATACACATGACAGCAAGCAGAGACTTGACATCATTTAAAGTTAATTTAAACTCATCTCACTTTTGTTTTAGAGTTGTTGATCATAGAAATGAACGGGGCATGTAGATTGCTGAGCTCAACCCTCTTAGTGCAGGAGGAAGAAATAAAAATGCAGAGTTCATAAAAGACAGCTATCTTGAGCACAACTAATGAAAGTGAATCTATCTCTCTAGTTGTGTCTAGTACTATTTTTCAGCTGCCCTTACTATCTGGAAATTTCTTCTCACATTCAATTCTAATCTACCTTTGTCTAATCTATATTCATAATTGTGCATCTTGCAGTCTGGATTGAGAGATTTCAGATCCTTTGTTCTGTATGAGATCCATTCAGGAACTTGAAGAGGGCTACTGTACCATATCCCCATTTAGTTTTTTCTCAAGCTAAATCTACCCACCTTCTGCAATCTTTTTTTCCCCAGCACTTAGTTCTAGCCCTCACTGTCATTTTTGTACCTAATCCAATTATTCTGAATTCTGGAAGTGAACATTGTATTCAGGGTGGGTACTGACCAATAGAACAATAAGTTATTGTGATGCTCAGGTTTCTTGTTTTTGAAAACTATTCAGAAATTGAATCTGGTCCAAAATACATTAGCCAACTGTATGCAGGCCAGATCTGGTTCAACAGAATATATCTAATCAATCAATCAATAACATTTAGAGTGCCATACAATTCAAAGTTCTGGTCATTATTCGTAACTCCCTTTATCATGTCCTGAGATGATATACATAGATATAGATGATGAGATAGATAGAGATAGAGATAGATAGAGATAGAGATAGAGGCAGAGGCAGAGAAATAGATAGATAGAAAGATAGATAGATAGATAGATATAGATGAGAGAGAGAGGGTAGGTAGATAGATGATAGATAGATAGATAGATAGATAGATAGATAGATAGATAGATAGATAGATAGATATTTAATGGATGCTAAAACTACATTTGCCTTTTTTCGGCAGCAGCACTGCTGACTCACACTGAGCACAATTAACTATTCCAAGATCTTTTTCAGAATTGGTAGGTTATGTAATTGTCTATTCTATACCTATGCAATTATTTTTGTTCCTTAAATGAAGTACTTTGAATCTGTCTTTTTTAAATTTAATTCATTTTAATAACCCATCATGTAGTAATGTCTGTTCTGCTCAGTATTAGTCATCTGCCCCAATTTTGGTCATCCACATCTTCAAATAAATAATTAAACATTGAAGAGTAGAGAACTCAACTTTGGGGCATCTGTTTCACTACCTGTTTCCAGTTTGATTAGAAAACATTTTTTAAGCACCGTCTGAATATGGGTGCCAATTAAAGGGTCATGGGCTATATCATAAAAATTGTTAATTATAATGTCATAGGATTCCCCCAGGTTTCTTAAAATTTCTCATAGTCCCTTTTCCATGAATGTTGATGTGGCAAGTCTTCGATTATGCTGTTTTGACCAACATGACCTTTTTGATTCTTCTTACAAAAGTTTTTATGGATTCTACCAAAATGACTTTTTCATCTCCCCTGTGGATGGCATTGAAATAATTTTACATTTTACTGTTTTAATTATTTTATTGGCCATTGTACTGGGGGTGTTTCATTGCTTCTCTGTTTCTGCAACTGCCAATTTTCTGTTTTATTACTAGATTGTTGTGATTTCATAATTCATCGTTTTAGCCTATTGTGTTTTGTCATAATATCCAAAGGAAAAAAAAATCACCAGGCAGAAATTCAGGTTTAATGTGCAGAGACATTTTGTGCATGTCTTTTAAAAGTATTTCTTTCTGCATATTGTTAAGAAGTACTGACAGTGAAACACATGAGTCACGTTATAGATGATGTTTCCTGTAATGCCTGAAGCAATTTTAACATACATCTATATCTTTGAGTGTGTCTTTATGTAGAATGGCTCAAAATAGCACTACTATAAATTAAAATAAACTTAGATTAGGTAACACTTGTGCTAGATGGAATTTGTAACTAGAATGCAGGTCTTAAAAAGTTTTGCAGAGTCATTCCAAGGCTGAATGCTTCGTGCATGTAGAACTTTTTAAAGTGAAATATTCAATCTAATTCTGTAATTAATAAAACTCAGACCCTTCTTAACACCAGGACAGAGTAATCTAATATGGTAGGGCTACCTTGGTACTCATAATTTGCAATTGGTGAAGAATGCAACTTTTTGTGCGCTAGTAGGTGACACTCATTACAGCTATCTGTATGAAGCACCTATATTATAGGTGGTACTTTGGTTCCCAGTAGGTTTCTAGGTAAAATTCGAAGTATTGGTTTTAGTAGTTAAAGCTGAACTCATAGCTGCTAAAAACTTGAGGAAGTATGGAGATCCTGATGTCTCCCAGATATGAGATTGGTGGGAGCCCAAAGGTGGTTTTCTTTGTGATGGTCTCTTATCCTTATAGAATAACCTCTATCCAGAGCTTAGAATGGCACCATTTTGTCAAGCTGTCCAAACAGAACTGTTCTGTGGGGATTTGGGAAGTTAAAGTTTTAGTGGTCTAAAAGTGTTTTGTAGGAGATGATCAGGCTGAGCCAAGAGCAGGGTCAAACATGTCATCTGTTAGGAGTTTCTACACTCCCACAAGAAACCTACATCCAACCCTCACCCACCCCATGGCTTATCTAGCACTAATTTGCCTTGACTTTTAATAGATCAGATTCTTGTGTATAGGTAGCATGAAATAAACTTGTAGTACTTTTGAATTCTATTCCAGCTCCTGATTTCTTGTGCCTGACATGTTGTAGATCAATGTTTTGTATGGCCCAGGGGATTGATAATATATTATCTAGCTCTAACATTGCATTTAATTTGTCCTCTTGTGTACCAGATGGTAGTATTTTTACTAGGACTTTTTATATGATTTTTAAGAATTGTTCCTGTATATTGTTTTATTTTAACAGTTGTACTTCATGTGAGCAGCCATATAAATTTATTAAATAAATAAATTATTAGTATACTGAAGGCATATGCTTTTTCACTATTAGTTGTATTGCACAGGAGGTTTTCGGTATTAAATATGTAAGTTATAAAAGTCATGAAGCAACTTTTAAAGTTTAAAGTGATTGTAAAGGGCATGTATGTATAAATGGGAACCAACTAAAGGTACCAGCAAAAGCTCTGTAAATATGAAAGTAAATATGAC